GACAGACAGACAGACAGATAAACAGACAGACAGACAGACAGACAGACAGACAGACACACACACACACACACACACCTGTAGATAGACACACACACACACACACACACACACACTGTCACACACACACAGACAGATAGACAGACACAATTCGTTCGTCAATCTCGAGTCAGAGTCATGACGATGAATTGAATGAAACTGGCAGGACAAACCTCATCATAACATAATTGTCGTGGACACATGACTCCTAGTTTGTTTAAGCTCGGTAAAATTTATACAAATCTATAATAATTATAATAAGTAATGTTATAATGTTATGGTTTTAATGTCAAGGTAGGTGAATTTTGACAAGATTTTGGTCTGTCAATTCGTGCGTATAAAAATACGGGGTGAAAAAACGTATCTTTGAGGCAGAACCTATTAACTTGAAGTGTGTGAAAGCATGTTTGGTCTATAATTTTATAATACATGTATAGTTTTTGTGTACTCTTAGATATGAGGCGAGTTGAACAAACCTGCAAGCCAGGTTGAGTGGGAACGAACTCCCAGCCGACAGATGAATGATAATATAGGATAAAGAACTTTCCCAAACAGGAAGCGAACTTCGGATCATTATTTCTGATAATTTCTTTAGCGTCCACTCACTTGCAATAAAATACAGCTCTAGACTCTTTACAATAATTTCATATCAACACAAAACACAAGTGAATGAACATGCATGCATACATATAATAATATATAGCTAGCTTTATATTAGCACTAGACTAACACATTTGCAAACATAAACGGATATGGGTGGTTGGCGGGTGCTCTTGTGTGGTTTGCTCCTTCTTTCCTATCAAACATCTGTTGTCCTGATCTCTCCTCCTTCTTTTTTTGGTGTTTGTTACTCTCTTTTAACACCTCTAATTTTCGGCACTTAATTATAAAACCTTATTGCGTTGCTAGTGCTATACAATTCTTTAAAAAACTAAAAGACATAAATGTGAGGCAGCATGGAGGAATCAGGCTCTCGTCAATTTTTGGTCGAGTAGAGTTATTGGTATCATCTTTAGACTTGTTCACTTGTATTTAATCGGATGAAAAAAAAGATCAATTTATATTGAATACAAGTCGAGATATTTGCGAATGAAGGAGGCGGGGGTTAGCTGTTTTCAGATGTAAAATAAGTGAGAAAATGGCCTCCAAAGATTAGTTATTTCCTCAGCTTCAGAGTCCGTGGTAACTGAAAATTTACATTTTTTGTACCTTTAATCAACGCTTTTCGGAAAAATCCACACAGAAATGATTTCTTTAATGGGCCTAAAAGGTGTTGAGCCAAAAAACAAAAATTTGATAAAAATTCACAAACCAGTGGAAAAATGCAAGTTTCTACACTTTGGTTATTTTGACGAGAGCCTGATTCCACCACGCTGCCTCACATACTATCATAACACAATCGATGAAGATACACATCAAATTTTGAACATAAGAACAGTATTTTAAAAAATATGCACAATGAATACGAAGGGCTTCTGTCTTCTGCATGTCTAAGGCATGAAGAGATAATGAAGAGGGAAGGTGGGGGGG